CTATTTAAGGGGGTCTTCTTCCCCAATGGTTCCCCATCTTTTGAGCTCGTGTTCTTCCCCCATTGTTGACCTTCTCCGAGCTTGCTATCTCTCAATCCCTCCATGGATTCTTGCTAGTTTTTGAGGGAAAAGAGAGAGGAGATCTAGATCCACATTTCCACCAATCACTTTCTCATCTATGTGAGGGGAACCCCTTGGATCTAGTTCTTGGAGTTCTTGGTGTTCTCCTTCTTGTTCTTCCTCTCATTTTCCTCCCTAGCACTAGTTGCTTCGGTGGGATTTGAGAGAGAAGGACTTGGGCACTCCGTGTGCCCTTGCCATTGCATTTGGTGCATCGGTTTGAGTTCTCCACGATGATACGTGGAAGTTACAAGTTGAGAAGCTTATTACTCTTGGGTGCTTGGTGCCCTTGAGCTTGTTCCTCTTGGGTGCTTGGGCGTCCTAGACGGTTGGTGGTGTTCGGAGCTCAATCATTGTGGTGTAAAGCTCCGGGCAAGCGTCGGGGTCTCCAATTAGGTTGTGGAGACCGCCCCGAGCAATTTGACGGGTACCGGTGATCGCCCCCAAGGGTTGCCAAAGTGTACGGGTTCGGTGACCGCCCCCAAGGGTTGCCATTTGTACGGGTTCGGTGACCGCCCTCAAGGGTCCCTTAGTGGAATCACGGCATCTTGCATTGTGCGAGGGCGTGAGGAGATTACGGTGGCCCTAGTGGCTTCTTGGGGAGCATTGTGCCTCCACACCGCTCCAAACGGAGATTAGCATCCGCAAGGGTGTGAACTTCGGGATACATCGTCGTCTCCACGTGCCTCGGTTATCTCTTACCCGAGCCCTTTACTTATGCACTTTACTTTGTGATAGCCATATTGTTCTTTGTCATATATCTTGCTATCACATAGTTGCTTATATTGCTTAGCATAAGTTGTTGGTGCACATAGGTGAGCCTAGTTGTTTTAGGTTTTGTGCTTGACAAATTAACCGTTAGGTTTATTCCGCATTTGTTCAAGCCTAAACCGTAATTATTTTAAAACGCCTATTCACCCCCTCTAGGCGACATCCACGATCTTTCAGACACAACTAGGGTCATAAATCTAATTATCCCTTTATTCAAACTCATTCCGACCGCTAGGGGCTGCGCACAAATGCATGCCAGCATATTGGCCTTTCCTGCAGTTGAGCATCCGCGCCATTCGTCGAAGCTTCACTTCTAGCCGACCTAACAGTAAAAGTCTTAAATAGCACGCTATAGCATTTACGAGTGGTTCTATGCTAAGGGATTTTTGTCCAAATGCATGAACACACATTTTAAATAGCGCGATATAACTCCACTACAGCATGCTATAACGTTTAGAAGAGGTCCGACACTAAGAGGCTTAGCGCGCTATTTAAAACTATGAGTAAGACAAGTAACATTGAGTTGCTAAAAGCATACAAAAAGTAACACAAGTTTTGCAAGTTTGAGAAAGTTTTCCCCTCATTCTTGAATCTAGCAATTTGTACTCTTCATTTTAGTGAAACTCTGGAAGACATGGTGACAATAATATTACTTCACAATGTTACTAGCTACGAGGGTAACCATATATGTGAGTTTATAGAGTTACGGGCTTCTTTTCCCATTGCGATGCACGGGCATATGTACTACTCCCTCTGTCCCATAATATAAGAACATTTTTAACACTACACTAGTGTCAAGAGCGTTCTTATATTACGGGACAGAGGGAATAGTAAAATCAAAAGTTAAAGTTTGACCCAAAATATAAGAGGCGCTAATAAAGCCGGACATAGTATAGATGTAACCAAATAATTTGTCTTCATAATATTTTTTTGGGAAAACTTACGATCTATTTATCTTCAATCATGGTAGTACAACAAACACTAAAAAAATACATCTATATCTGTAGACCACATAGCGACGATTACAAACACTGAAGCGATCTGAATGGGCATCGCTCTCATCGATCCTCCCTCGCCAGAGCCAGACAAACCTTATTCTAGTAGACAGTCGGAAAGTCATCGTATTAAGGCCCCATGGGATCAATGCTCCAGAACAACAACAGCCGCCGATGAAGAGTAGCGTAAATCAGAAGAATCCAACCTAAAGGCACACGGATATAGAACACATTCGAGCAAATCCACCAAAGATAGATCTGCCGGAATCACACCTTCACACGCTCATCGACGATGCTAAGACACACCACCGAAACGGGGTTAGGTAGGAAAAACCTTATTCCGTCTTCAAGCAGTTGCTGCCCTCTCGTCTTTCGAATAGGACACAAAACTTAACAAGAAAGATATAAAAACAGAGCCCTCCCATCGAAGATGAGACGGACTAACGACGGCGCCGGCGGGAGGCAATGAAACCCTAACTATTTGGGGTGGCGACGGCTGTAACGTAGTGTCTATTAGCCACGGCTATGCCTGGCAATGGGCAGCCCGACCAGACTCGGCCCGAAAATCCCGAGCTGGGCTGAGCCCGTGCATGCCATTAGGCCGGGCTCGGGCCTGGAAATCGAGCCCGACGGGCAAATCGGGCTGGACTCGGGCTTGCGTAAAACAAGATTTTAGCCATAGCCGGGCCGGGCCTATCAGGCCGCCTCAGGCTTTTTCGCGCTCAGGCCTGATTTAGGGCCCGTTTGGTTTCAAATAAGACACCAACTTATAAGTCGAAAAGTGAAAACAGTGACTTATTTTGCCAAATAGACCCAATTTATAAGTCACCCCAACTTATAAGTCATAAGTTGCTCCACCCCAACTTAAAACTTACAAGTCACTCTTTTTTGCGTGGGTCCCATCACCTGCATGATGTGGATTGATGTGGGAAGGTGTGATCAGGTGACTTATAAGTCAGGTGAAGTCACGCATGTTTAATCGTTACCTCACTTATAAGTCAGATGACTTATTAAAACCAAACAAGCCCTTAGTAGGCTCGATGGTTGGACCGGACTGGGCTCAGACCTGGGTTTTCAGCACCGGGCATCTATGGCCCGGCGCGAAGCCCCTGGCCCTGAGGTATACCACAGCCAACGCTTCGCATTGTGTTGTCTTTATATCTGTTGTCGCCCACGTGTCAGCGGACTAACCACAGCCAACGCTTCGCATCGCCAGTTCGCCGCCACCACTGGGTCCCCGAGGACGCACGCGCCCACATGTCAGTGAGCGGGACAAAACGGAGAACTCCGTTCTCTCCGTCGGAAACAGAATGGCCGCCGTCAGTCCCTCTACAGCCAGGCCCCTCTCTCCCGCTCCGAGCGCGGTCCCACGCCGGGGCCAACATGTCAGTGACAGCAAAACAAGCCAGATGGCGCCTACCAGCGTACTTGCACAGCACCGACGCATCCGCACCGTACTGGCCTCTTCCCCTCCCACGCTTCCTTTTCCCGCTCCGCTCCTCCTCCTCGCCGCCCCCCGCCTCCGTCCCGCCCGCTAGGGTTTCCGCCTCGGCCGCCGCCGACGACGGCCAGCCGGTGCACGCCGCCTCAGTGCCGGTGAGCTCTCTCGTAGAACCCGTACCGCGTGCTGCTCGCTTGCTGGGGCTGGGCTTGTCCGTTTCCGCTTCGGGTGTACGTTGTACGTACGGCGCAGCGAGGGTTTTGTTCCGCGGTGGCGTGCTCCGATCATGTGCGACGGGGGTTCGGTGCCGGCGAGCGAGCTCTCTTCCCTGGCTCGAACCCCTTGTCGCCGTACGGTTTTCTGCTCGCTGGCTGGAGCCTGGAGGCACGGTTTTTTGGGGTTTCTGCATTCGGTGCTGTAGAGAGGGTTTGGCTTCGCGGTGGTGCGGTCGGATCGTGTGCCCCGGGGCTGGGAAGTCACCGCGGATCGGTGTTGAACGATCTAGGGTTTCGTGCTTCGCTTGGGTGGCCGTAGCGTAGCCTGGGCCGGTTTTGTTGGTTCGGTATGCCCGTTGGGGTGAAATGGAGGTGCATTTGTGATGAAGGGGCTCCTTTTGCCGCTCACGTGGCATTGTTTTATTGGGCTTTATGGTGGACAGGCCAATTGGACTGTCAATTTTGCAATAACAAAGTCATGGCTGAATGTTTGGTTTTGCTCCCAAAAAAAAAGCTGAATGTTTGGTGTACTGTGCTTTGCTGGTTGGCTGGTCTGATGCATGCGTTCGTTCTTGGGGTTTGTAAGAATAGAGGAAATGGGGGTGTGAAGAGTTTAGCTCTGAGTAGGCTTAGATTGATAGCATGTGGTTTAGCTAGCCACGGATAGGCGAGTTACACATGTTCGAATTGCCCTGGATTGGCAGTTACAATTATTGCAATTGCTTGTGTAGTTGCATGGCTAACTAAATGGGCTTGTTGCAAATACCACGATCTTGTATTTCTGTCATCGCACTGTTTGGGGGGTTTTGGATGGGATTTTGCCCTATGTTTGTTTGGAGTATAGCCTTTCACTTGTTTCCCAATGGTTTTGAAATGATGCAGCATTAGCAGGTTTTGGAGCAAGTTCTGTTTTACTTTTAATTGATGGATTGGAATTTTTTACTGTGGTTGTTAGGGATAGGCAAATGGGGCTGTCAGTTTTGCAATTACCAATTCATAGCTGAATGTTTGGTGTGCTTTGCTGGTTGGCTGGTTCGATGCATGTGTTTGTTACTTTGTTCCATGTTTTTGTGTAGTTACATGGCTAACTAAATGGGCTTGCTGCAAATACCATGATCTTGTATTTCTGCTATCGCGCTGTTTTGGGGGTTGTGCCTATGCTTGTTCGGGTATAGCTTTCACTTGTTTCCCAATGGTTTTGATGATGCAGCATTAGCAGGTTTTGAGTTAACGAACTAAGTTCTGTTTTACTTTTAACGGATGGATCAGAACTACTGTTCCAAGGTCAATTTTTATTACCAAGCGATGCTAATAGATGATTCGGAATGTCGGAACTGTTGGTTGCATGGGTTGCCTTGTATGTTCAGAAGCCATTTTGCTAATTATGTTGATGAACTGATCGTGAGATGTTTCAGTTGTAGATCGACCAGTGCCCGTCTTTCAGAGTGACTGCATTCCATGGATCTCGAGGCAAACTCTGAGCTCATATTTGGAGAGGAATTCTGCTTTCCTGCTAACGCGACTTACTATCCGACTCCATATGGTCCAACTGGTAATATTTGATGACTTCTTAATTAAGTGATAAGTCTTGCTGGTTGAGTTGCATAGTTAATGACTTAATGTGTCACCTGACTTTATTCTCTCGGTTGCAGGAATTACTCTGCCTGCTGAGTTGTATGAGCACCAGGCAATTTGGAGATGTGGTGATCAAGATCTACACTACTTGGTTAGTGCTGCAGAAGTGCAGAATGCTATTTCGTTCTTGATTCAAGTGTTCTCCAATGTGTTTGATTAGGTATGTACTTGTCCCTCGACAGGGCCAACAGGCTGAAGGCACATCATACTCGTATTATGTTGTCCCTGACTATGGGATTGCACATTCTCCCCGTGGCCCTTACCCTTCAGGACATTGTGCTATAGCTGATGGCAGGTTTGCTAGATCCCGAGAGTATCTTGCTAAGACTGCTGACATCGCATGCCACCAACCAGTTCCTATACCCCACTATGATCTCCCATCTGCTGCACAGTGGGGCCCAGCTAGCACGTCGCAAACTCTTATGTGCAATGATAGTCTGTTCATCCCCACTGATCAAGGCCAAAGTTTCCCTGTTGTTCCAAAAAAGGGTATTACATGGAATCCATCTCTACAATCAACTAGTGTTTCTTCAAAGAAATTCGAAAACCATGCTATGCTATCAACAGTACAACTGCATAGTACAGATCCATGGAAGCAAAATCTAGCAGCTGGAAGTGGAACTATGGTACCTGCTAAACTTGGCCGTGCTCTACAGGTATGCCTAATGCCGTCACACTTGTAATTGTTGAGTTATCCTTCTATTTTATGTTAGTAGTGTTGAACTTAAATAGCCAGGTCCTGTTAACGCCCTTATGCCTGTCATTCCATCTGTTGTAAGTACAACTGTACAAGCTAGTGGTTTTCTTTGGCCCTTCTATAGTAAACATTTATAAGAAGAGGTTAGATAATATATTTGTAGTTGCAAGTCAAGTGTTGATAATTATTACATTTATGACGGTAAATGCAGAGGAAATGCACTTGCCACTGGATGCATGTATTTGTACTCATGCCCCGGTCGGACATTCTGATGCCATGACAATATCTTCCAAACCTCTGTTTTCATGCGCAAAAAAAAGCCATCTTATAATTTTCCATGCTTTGATGACAAATCTCCTTATGATTAGGCATCACGACACTCTCTACATGGGGGAGTTCCTCCTGTCAAGTCCTCGCCGCAGACTAATCCATCATACAACTATAATGCTTCACATGTTGGATCGGACCTCCGTAAGATGGCCATAGCTGAGAAATTCCAACCAAGCTCAAAGCCAAGAAGCTATGTAAATGGTTTAACTGGAAAGTTGAGTTCAGTGTGTCGGCTGAACTTAAGTAAAGAAAAACAGCCAAGAGGTTCGACGTCGTCAGAAATAGTTGCCACATCCTATACATCAAGGCTGCGTATTGGCAATCCAGAGGGGAAAATCATCATTAAGACTGATCAATATAACAGGGACGACTTCGAGGTGGTGTATCCCAATGCAAAATTCTTTGTTATCAAGTCTTGGGGCGAGGCAAATGTTCACAAATCCATCAAATATGGTGTCTGGTCGAGCGGTCTTCAGGGAAACAAGAAGCTGGATAGTGCATTTAGAGATGCTCAAATGATAGCTGCAAGCAGTTCTACCTTGTGTCCAGTTTTTCTGTTCTTTTCGGTGGGTTTATGTTAATTTAAGGTGTATGGCCTGTTCTATTCTATTTCCTGTTTTTGATCTTGAATGCTGAACCTAAATCATTGTCCTAACAGGTCAATGAAAGTAACCATTTCTGTGGTGTTGCTGAGATGGTTGGCCCTGTTGATTTTCAAAAGGACATGGACTTTTGGAGCATGGATAGATGGGTTGGAAGTTTTCCTGTGAGGTGGCACATTATAAAGAATATACCAAATGTCGCCTTGAAATGTATCTTGCTGCGGAACAATGAAGATAAGCCTGTCACCTCCAGCAAAAATACACAAGAGGCACGTTTCTGAGATATCTCGCTAGTTTGCTTGCACAGAAAACAGCTGTTACTTAATAATGATTATTCACTCTGCATGTCTGTACATGTTTGTGTTGGTCTAATGTACAGTTTGTTGTTTGCTTGCTACTCCCTCCGTACCAACATAATTGAAGTTCTTGTCTTAAGTCAAGCTTTTTAAAGTTTTGACCAAGTTTAGAAAAATCTGCTAAGCTCTAGAATATCAAATGTATATATAATATGGAAATATATGTCGTAATGAATCTAATGAAGCAAATTCGGTGTTGTAAATGTTGATATGTTTTTACATAGACTTGATCAAACTTAATGAAGTTTGACTTGGGTCAAACTTAGAATTCAATTATTTTGGAACGGAGGGGGTATTTTAGTACTGACCCTGCCCGCTGCTTTCACAAACAAACAGAAAATGAAAGCATGATGCTGAATCAATATGACTGGATAGCTTTGCTTCTTTGGATGCTGTTATCATCAATGACTGGATAGCTTTGCTTTAAGCTTGGGGCATATCTTTTACTGCCATTTCCCTTGATCTCACTCGGCAACCTCCTGCTGTTTTACTTGCAGATACACTATGTTCCCGGAACTAGTATGCTCAGGATCTTCAAAGGTTCAAAAACAAATGGATGTCTGCTTGATTGCTTCATGTTGTATGAGGCGGAAGAAGCAAGAGGCAGAAAATGCAGGATGTCCAAGCTTAGGCGTGATGCTCCACGTTTCATACCTGTCCCGAAGCTGTCTCTGCGCCATGCCTACGTTCCTCGGCAGCCCAAAGCTGACAGAATACTGATGGACAGAATTATCAGGGAGACGCACTATCTGGCAGGCAACGGCATGCAGCAGAGCTCATGGGAAGAACCTGGGAACCTGGCTAGATATTCTGCCAAGGCATCTGCACAGAAAGAAAACCGTAGCTCTGGAAAACAGGCTCGTGAGGATGTGGTGAAAGCTGTAATATACCAGCAGCAGCCCCTAGCTTCAAACATGCCGGCTGGTCCGGCTGGAGGACAACTAACCTCGGAGGAGGTTGAAGTCGCCCTGGTTGAAAAAGACCGCCCACAAACTGCTGCCAACATCTCATCGAAAGCACCTGAAGAGAGTCCAACTGAAGTTAAGAATGCCTTGGTGCACAGTGCATCATCAACTCCAGAAACGATTTATGAAGAAAAGAAGGTCATTGGGGAACACTGTGCTCGGGCAATCAGTCCTCCTATGAGTGAAGCCTGCTCAAGTTGCTTGATTGGTGATGTTCTGCGCATTGGTTCGATGCTGGTCCCGATGAAGATGTCCAACTAAAAGATTCAAAAACTTTCCTCTTATCAGCCGGAGCCGTGGTCTTGCTCGTTGATAGGAGGTCTCTCTTTTGGGTTCTGACTTGCTTGATAACCGTGGGAGTTAACGTTCTTCAGCTTAATAAGTAGGGCAGCCTGGGAACAATTTACTTGGGATTTTAGGCTCAGGGAGAGAGGCTTTCATGATTTTCACTTTTCAGGATCCTTTTTTGGGCCTACAGTCTACCAGCTCTCTGGAAAGGAATTATGCAAGCAGTGATGCGTTAAATTAAACGTCTTGGTAACGATGCATGAGCTTTCTGTTGCTCGTTTGTTGTGTTAAATTAAATGATATTACTATGCTGCTATTTATTTTTGTTGCTCATTGAGGTTTTTCCCAGGAAATTTAGTTCAACTTTATCTAACCCGTTTTGTCTACTCGATTTCATCAAATATCTACTTCAGTATGCATATCCCCTGATCCTTGAACTCTGTTGGGTTGTGTGTGCATGCATCATGGAGCTAGCTGTCAGTGAGATATTGGATTAGGTTGGTTGGTGGTGCATTTTGTACAATATTAAGTCTGCATGCTCTAGTAAGGTAGTGTTAGCCACCTAACCTAAAGATGCAGCATTCTCTTTTCTTGTGCTGGTGTCTATCATCGTCTTTGGTCGAACCACCGCTCATGAATGAGAAAACAATGCTAGCATCTGGCAGGTTTTCATTGTCTATGCATCTCTGTGCTGTGCGTACGCATCTATTCAACCTTGTACTACTACTTAACCTGGGTTAAACAACCACACAAAGCTGAAACCATCCATCAAGTGCTAACCACTCTTGTAGCACCAATTACCAAACCTGTGGTTCCCATTTGCAGGCACGAACAACAGAGCGTTCATTAGGTGCTAACGAACTGGACTGAGATAGATGGATGGATCGATGATCCATCCGGCAAGCACGCAGCGTGGCTTGCCGTTGCGACGTTGCTTTACAGGTTAATTTATCGGGTTCAGGTTCTCTTTGTTTTGGGTCGTATTGTATCCGGGCGTCAAAGCGCTCAAGGCTGTCACGCTTTTCCTACTATTGATCTGCTTTGCTCACTGCCACCAACTGCTACCACCATCGCCATGATGCGGTAATATGTTACTGGTACTGGCCTTTTGGTATCCTCATCATGACCTTTTTTTCCAATTAAATAATGTCATCTGATGCCTGTGCATGGTTGGGGAGCTTTCAGTTGTTCAGTTTATCAATTATCACCCCCCGCGCTTCGCGCACACACGGGACTAGAGGAAGCTGCGCACTGCAGCACATGCTAACATTCTAGCTTTTCTGTTGAGGGTTGGTAACATACTTGTTCCTTATCTGCACTGCAATCATTTCCCTTTTCTTTTTCCCAGTTGCCATATCAAAGGAAGAGGGTTGTTAACACGGATAAGCCGCCGACAAACGAGACAATTTCTTTTGGCACACAGTTTATATCCTAGACTTCCGCAATTATACTCCATTCCTATTTTGCCGTTCAGATGGTGTGTCACGGTAACTCCGCTGCACTGCACAGGCGTTGCGTACGCTGAAGGTCATCGACCAACGATAGTCTCACCTCGTCCTCCACACCGGACGTACGGCCGGGGCGGCTCCTCTGCCGCGGTTGCACGCTACCGACCTGCCGGTGCGCCGTCGCGGTTGCGGCCGCGGCTTGGCAGAGGGAGCCGAGGAAGCCAACAACATCCCACCAAACACGAACGACCTCGCCTCGCCTCCTTGGCCACCACCGCCGATCCACCAGACACCGGCGTTCCATACGTCAATGACAAGTGACGACAACGACTAAAGCGCGCCCTTTGTGTGCGTTCCACTTTCCGCTGAATCGACGATGCCACTCGCTTGGCGGTGGTCATTGCATTGCGTTGCACTAGTACACAGCAATGGACGCCTCTGTATCATAATTCTCCCGTCACCTCTTTCTTCCAACAGAAATGGTACTCCCGTCGCCTCTGAATCATAATTTCTCCCGTCAACTATACCTTTTCCTTTATGGTCTACTTGCTCTATATTCATCTACAGTAAAAAAAGGATATCATTGAGTCCAACCTCATAATTTTCTTCTTCTTTATTTCAATGGCAACCATAGTGCACACACCTAATTATTAGAAAAAATACATACAATTTTATGTGATGCAACCAAACATCTATTACAATTCCTTGCGCTTTTTTAGTTCCCGTAAGTTTCAACATATCATGACATACAGAGATAAAAAAAAACACCGAGGCCCCGGCGCCGCTCTGCCGGGGAGACACATGTGGCGCCTCCGCCTCCACCACAGGGACCCCTCCTCCCGGCCGGAGTCACCGGGCAAAGCCCTATGCGGTTGCTGGTTGCGACAGGGTCATCTTCTTTATCCACCATCGGTTTCCCTCAGGCTTCTTCAACCCCTGCTAGATGTGTCGTCGCCGAGCGCTGGTCCTCCATTGTCGTTGGCCTGCTCGCCGGCCTGGGGCAGGGTGGATGAGGCTAGGAGGTCCAAGGGCCATCTCGTCCTTCTCATGGACGGGGAGAGCAGCCCGGTGCTGCCCACATCTAGCGTAGGGCCTGGGTCATTGTCCCGGGTAGGGGTGGCCGCGACCATGCTCGTAAGCAGCTGGTGTTGTTCGGCGCAGACGGGGGCACTCAGTGGTGCAACGGCGTGGATCAGTCCTCCGACATTTGGTTGAGTTGCCCCGGAGTGCAATCTATGGACGGGGAGAGCAGCCTGGTGCTGCCCACATCTAGGGCAGGGCCTGGGTCACCGCCCCGGGTAGGGGCGGCCGCGACCATGCTCGTCAGTAGCTGGAGGTGTTCGGCGCAGACGGCGGCACTCAGTGGTGTAGCGGCATGGATCGGTCCCCCGGCATTTGGTGGAGTTGCTCCAGAGTGCAATCTATGGACAGGGAGAGCAGCTCGGTGCTGCCCACATCTAGGGTAGGGCCTGGGTCACAGTCCCGGGTAGGGGTGGCCGCGACCATGCTCGTCAGCAGTTGGCGGTGTTCGGCGCAGACGGGGGCACTCAGTGGTGCAGCGGCGTGGATCGGTCCTCCGACATTTGACGGAGTTGTTCCGGAGTGCAATCTATGGACGACGGCCTGATGTAGATGGCATGGATGTGTAACGACGATGATGGATTGCTACTTCTTTAGCTTGCATTGATTTTTCCCTTAAAGAGGAAAGGGTGATGCAACAAAGTAGAGATAAGTATTTCCCTCAGTTAAGAACCAAGGTATCAATCTAGTAGGAGGCACAAGCAAGTCTCCATTATATGCACCTGCCCAAACTAACAAACACTTGCACTCAACACTAAAAAGGGGTTGTCAATCCCTTCACGGTCACTTGCAAGAGTGAGATCTAATAGAGATAGATATAAAAGATAATAAAATCAGCGAGGTATTTTTGTGTTTTTGGTTTTATAGATATGAAAATATATGATGGAAAATAGACCCGGGGGCCATAGGTTTCAATAGAGGCTTCTCTCTTGAATAAAGTATACGGCGGGTAAACAAATTACTTTTGAGCAATTGATAGAACAACGCATAGTTATGACGACATCTAAGACAATGATCATGAATATAGGCATCACGTCCGTGACAAGCAGACCAAAACGATTCTACATCTACTACTATTACTCCACAAATCGACCGACTTCTGCCTGCATTTAGAGTATTAAGTTCAAGAGAACAGAGTAACACATTAAGCAAGATGACATGATGTAGAGGGATAAACCCCATCTTTTTACCCTTAATGGCAACAATACAATACATACCTCGCTACCCCTACTATGTCACTAGGTGAGGACACCGCAAGATTGAACCCATCACAAAGCACCTCCTCTATTGCAAGAAAAACCAATCTAGTTGGCCAAACCAGATCGATAGACCAGAGAGAAATACAAAGCTATCAAATCATGCATATAAGAATTCAGAGGAGACTCAAATAATATTCATAGATAATCTGATCATAAATCCACACTTCATCGGATATCAACAAACACACCGCAAAAAAAGATTACATCGGATAGAACTCCAAGAACATCGAGGAGAACTTTGTATTGAAGACCAAAGAGAGAGAATAAGCCATCTAGCTACCAGCTATGGACCCGTAGGTCTGTGGTAAACTACTCACACATCACCGGTAGGGCAACAAGGTTGATGTAGAGGTTCTCCGTGATCGAATCCCCCTCCGGCAGATCACCGGAAAAGGCCCCAAGATGGGATCTCACGAGAACAGAAGCTTGCGGCAGCGGAAAAGTATTTGTGTGGACACTTTTGATGTATGGGGAATATTTGAGAATATATAGAGGTGGAACTAGGGTTAGAGGACCTCCGATGGGCCCACAAGCCTAGGGGCACCCCCTAGAGGCTTGTGGCCTCCTCGGGACTCCTCTGGCCCTCTCTCCAAGTCACGTAGGTGTCTTCTGGTCCAAGAAAAATCATCATAAAGTTTTATTCTGTTTGGACTCCGTTTGATATTCCTTTTCTGAAAAAGCCAAAAACAAGGAAAAAACAGAAACTGGCACTGGGCACTGGGTTAATAAGTTAGTCCCAAAAATAATATAAAATAGCATATTAATGCATATAAAACATCCAAAACAGATAATATAATAGCATGGAACAATAAAAAATTATTGTACGTTGGAGACGTATCAAGCATCCCCAAGCTTAATTCCTGCTCGTCCTCAAGTAGGTAAATGATAAAAACGGAATTTTTGATGTGGAATGCCACCTAACATATTTATCAATGCAATTTGAATGTTCAGATCCATAAGACACAAAACAAAAGTTTAATATTGACATAAAAACAATGATACTTCAAGCATATTAATAAAGCAATCATGTCTTCTCAAAATAACATGGCAAAAGAAAGTTATCCCTACAAAATCATATAGTCCGGCTATGCTTCATCTTCATCGCACAAAATATCTCATCATGCACAACCCCGATGTTAATCAAGCAACTGTTTCATACTTTTAGTGTTCTCAAACTTTTTCAACT